ATTCCTTAGGAGCCTTAGTTGTGAGGGAACTTGGGAACGGAGAGGAGGAAGTGGATGAAGAGGAGGGCAAGGCCAGCTGGGTTTGGGGACCCCTGGCTCCCCTCCCCTGAGGGCAGGGGAATAAATCGACTATTTCTCTTCCCCTCCTCCGCTCCCCAAATCCAAAGGTTTCCCTTTTTTGGTTTGTGAAACGAAAGAAGGGAATTTGGGAAAGGGTTGTGGTCAGGCCTCCACCCACACCCCGAGTATTCCTCTCCCTACATTCCGCTCCTTGGTCTGGGGGGAAGACAGACCCTGGAAAATGGGTAATTTTCCTGCCCAGCCCTGTCAGCAGATACTAGTACTGGCTGGGGAGAAGGAGGGGAGTGCAGACACATGGGCCAGGGAGGCTCTGAGGTGGCACTGGCAGACGCGGGGGACCCCGTTGCCCGGCACCTCCTGTGTGCCAGGCACTGTGCTGGGTGCTTTCCAGGACTTTTATCTCCGAAATCACACAGCCAGTTGTTGAGGTGTGCAGTTCACAGGCGAGTAAACAGATGCTTAGAGAGGTTAAGTGACTTGTCTAAGGTCACCCAGAGTGGCAGAGCTGAGATTTGACCCTTCAAAACCTTTGCTTCTTTCTGCTGTCTTCACGGCTCGGCTACCTTTTGCCTCTCTCTCTAGATGTGTGACTCTGGGGACCTAAGGATCGGGTGGCTGGGACTCCTGATGCTGGGGAAGGGATCCTGGCACCTTTGAGGGTGGGGGAGTCCCCAGCGGGCAGGGGTGCCTGGCTGGTGGTCAGCGCTCCGGCCCTCCCCCCACACGCTTCGTGCTGCGCTGGGGCTGAGCCCGGTGTATGGGAGGTGAGGGCCTGTGGTTTTTCTCTCCCTCGAGGGAGGGTGCCCGTGGGCCGTGGAGGTGGCAGGCACAGGGTGGAGGTTGGATGTGGGTAATTTGTTTTCCCTTTCTTTGGTGCTGGTTTCGATTCTCTGACAGTGTCTTCTCCACCCTGGGTGCTGGGGGCCAGGGCCCAGGCATCTCCCCGAGGGTGGTCATGATTCCAGAGAAACCTTCTGAGGCCGGGCCTGTGCTCTTTGGCCCCACCCGCCTCATCCCTGCCCTTGCCCACCCCTGTTCCCTGGCCAGCCTGGCCCTTGGCCCATTTCTGTGACCTTTACCCCCTCCCTTGACTCAAGGCCTTCCCCAGGGAGTTGAGTAACTTTGCATTGAAGTTTGCAGGCTGAGCTCCTTTGGTGAAGCTCTCATGGGGGTGGGGGCCGCCTTCCAGCCTCTCCCTGGGGTGTGTATCTGTGAGTGAGGTTTGAAGTATGGTCCAGTTTCAAACTTCTCAGGGGCAGAGTTGAGGCATATTAAGGTGGCTGTTGTTAGTCTCTCCTTTGGGGTCAAGGGTGAGCTCCAGAGGGTCCAGACTGAATCCGCCCCCACCCTCCAAAAGCTGGGTCAGGAGGCCTGGAGTCTGGAGTGAATGGCTTCCTGGGCCTCACCTCAGAAGGTAGGCCCCCCTGTGGAGGGGAATCCACTGGAGTGTTTCTCTGTGTTTGTGGGCCCTGCTGCTCTTGGGGGGCCGGCCCATAGGAGGCAGGTGCAGAGGCCAGCCTGGCTGGGTGAGGACCAGGGGAAGTACAGTTCGGGAACCATGAGGCTGTGGTTGTGTGTCTGTGAGGACCTGTGTCTTGGGCTGTGCATGCAGACCTGGAGCCGGCTTCATTGTGTGTGGAGCCTAGGTGTGGCGCGATCGTGTATCTGGGTTCCCTCTTCTAATGTGCCACATGCGTGTCTGCACGCACACAGGCTGGGTGTGCAAACGTGCCCTTGCTCACCAGACGCTTTCCCTAGAACTCTGCGTCTAAGTTCCTGCAAGTGTGTGTGTGTGACGTTTTCCCTAGAACTCTGCGTGTAAGTTCCTGCAAGTGTGTGTGTGTGAGGGTCTGACTGTCAACACTACTGAGGCTCAGCCAGCCCCTCCTTCTCGTGCTGGCTCGAGTTCCCCTTGTGTGGGGCCCCTCGGGTGTGTAGGGGGGCCAGAGCGGCAGCTGGCCCAATGGGTGGGGCCCCTGTTCCTCTGACGTCAGCCTCTCTGCCTGGGAGGGAATCGGCAGGGGCCTGGGAAGGAAGGGGGCACCTCATTCAGGAGTAAGAGAGGCCCTAAGGAGATCATAATTAGTAACAGTAAAAATCATGGTCATTAACAAGGTCCAGATTTCACTTCTGGGGAGCTGCCCCCTCCCTTGCAAGTACCTGTCCCCACCTCCCCCCTCAGCCCCGCCCAGTCACAGGCTGGCTGGCTCGCCCAGCTGGGCTCAGAAGTCCTGGCCTCGTCCACAGTGGCCTTGGCAGAACTCCTCCATCTCAGGCATGGTTCTTGGCCAAATGCTGGCCATGTGCGTGTCCCCTGGACTTTAGGTCTGAGCCTGGAGCTTGGAACATGGTATGGCCTGAGCTTGGAGAGGGAGGGGTTGGAGGCCATCATTATTTTGAGTCTCTGTGGCCCTGTTTTCTTTTCTTCTCTTTTCTCTTCCCTTCCTCCCCTTTCTTCCCTTCCTTCCCTTAACAGCTTTATGGAGATGTAATTCATATACCATAAAATTCACCTATTTAAGTCTACAATTCAGTGGTTTTACTATAGTCACAGAGTTGTGCAACTAGCACCACGTTCACTTTTAGAAATTTTTCATCACTCCAAAAAGAGCCCCTATACCATTCAGCAGTCACTTCCCATTTCCCTCAAACCCACACCCACACCATCCCCCCCCACCCCGTAACTAACCACAGTCTACTTTCTGCCTTTTTAGATTTGCCTATTTTGGACATTTCATATAAAGGGAATCATACAACAGGTGGTCTTTTACAACTAGCAGAATGTTTTCAAGGTTTATCCATGATGTAGTATATATCAGTACTTTGTCCCTTTCTAAAAAATATTCATTTATTTATTTATCTGGCTGTGCCAGGTCTCAGTTGCAGCACACGAGATCCTTCATCTTCATTGCCACGTGTGGGATCTTTAGCTGCGGCATGGGAACTCTTAGTTGCAGCATGTGGGTCTTAGTTGCAGCATGTGGGATCTAGTTCCCTGATCAAGGATCAAACCCAGGCTGCCTGCTTTGGGAGCACAGAGTCTTAGCCACTGGACCACAAGGGAAGTCCCACTGGTTTTGTTCCTTTTATGGCAGAACACTCTTCCATTGTATGGATGTGCAGCATTTTATTTATCTATTCATGTGTTGATGTTCATTCAGGTCGATTCTACTTTTTTGGCTCTTAGGAGTGTTGGTGTGAGGGTTTGTATCCATATACAGGTTTTCGTGTGGACTTAATGTTTTACCTTCTCTTGGGTAGATACCTCGAAGTGGAATTGTTGGGTCATATTACTCTGTGTTTAACCTCCTGAAGAACTGCCAGCCTGTTTTCCAAAGCAGCTGTACCATTTTACATTCCTGCCAACCATGTGTGAAGGTTGCATTTCTCCACACCCTCACCTACTTGTTGTTGTCAGCCTTTTTGATTATAGCCATCTTGGTGGATGCAAAATGGTATCTCATTGTGGCTTTGATTAGCCATGTTTCTCTTTTCTTTTTCATATATGTCACAGATATGTGTATGTGTGTGTACACACACACACTCATATATAAATACATGCATGTTTATTGATAGTTTATATATATCTTCCTAGCCCTCTTGTGGATGCTTCTCTTTCTGTCTCTTTCTTTGCTCTTGTTGCCACCTGTCTGTCTCACTGTGTCGTGGAATTTCTGGGTTCACCTCTCTCTCTTGCTACCTGCGGTGTTATCTGTGTGTATCCTCAGGCCCCAGCTGTTCAAACAGGGTGTGGATCTGTGTATACACTGATGGTGGTGGGGGCATCTGGGCTGTCATCTTCTGCCCACCTCCCATTCCCTCCAGGGAGGTTGCTTCTGCAGGCAGAGGATGTGGGTGAAGTCTGAGCTCCGTCTCCTTTGCTCCTTCGTTGTGGGTGAGGGGAGTAGGGGGCTTCCATGCTGGGTAGTCCCCTGGCATCCTCTCCACCCCCGGCCCATCATGCTGTTAGGCAATGGAGGTGAGACTCAGGAGTCCTCAGCTCCCATTTCCCTATTTGTAGGTATGTAAACGGGCCTCCTCCCTGGGCCTGTGGGACAAAACCATCTGGGGTGCTCGGGCTTGGATTTGGGGGGGGAAGTGGTGTAAGCAAGGCCCCCTGGCTTAGGAGTCATTTTTCTGAGAAGTGCCAATGCTTTAGGGAAGCGGCTTTTCCTCCCCCTCCCTCCTCCTCTCAAGCACACGTTCTCTGTATCTTGACCTCAGGTAACCTGCTTTGGGGGAAGGAGGGCCAGCTGCCTTTCTCTGCTGCAGGAATCCTCCGGGGTGGCATGGCAGCGTGGACGCTTTGCTCTCAGGACTGTGGGTGAGAGGCCCTGCTCGCTCTGGGCTCTGTCCCCGTCTCCCCAGCCTGGCTGTGCTGTCCTGCCACCCCCAGCAGTGTCTGGGCCCTACTCCCAGGCTGTCTCTGCCAGCCAGGCATGGTGCCAGCTGTCTGCTCAGCCGGGTGCCACGGGAAAATCTCCGGCCGCCCAGGTTGGGGAGCTCCATGGGGAATGCCTATGAGCCCGCTCCTCGGTGCCCACTCACCTGTCTTTTCTTTCTCTGCAGCATCACGGGACATGGCCCCCACAGCCGCCTAGCTGGGGCCCACCCAGGAGAGGCTTCCTTATCGGCATCCTGAAGGCCCGCTCTGGACCTTCCCGGGAAAGTGCCAGCTCGCAGAACCACTTGACCAAAGGACTGGCTCTCGGGACGTCGCCCATCCCACCGGCCCCCCCTAGAGTGGGGGCGCCAGGAGCCTGAGATTAGCTTGCTGGCCTTGGACTGCAGCTCCAGGACGGAAGGGGGGGTGGGCTGACCACCCAAGTCCCCTCTGGGCCCAGGCCCCATGCCCCGAGGAGAGGCGGCCTGAAGCCCGCCAGACTGTCTGCCTGCGCTTCTGACTGTGGCCGCCTGGCATGGCCAGCAACAGCAGCTCCTGCCCAACACCTGGGGGAGGGCACCTCAATGGGTACACGGTGCCCCCCTATGCATTCTTCTTCCCCCCCATGCTGGGTGGACTGTCCCCGCCAGGCGCTCTGACCACTCTCCAACACCAGCTTCCAGTGAGCGGCTATAGCACGCCATCCCCAGCCAGTAAGTGGGGTGGGGGAGCGCTGTGGGAGGGGGCCGTGGAGGGTGGCAGGCCTGAGGCTGGGCCTCTGGGCACATCTCTTCCTCAGTGGCCAGGTCTCCTCCAGACAAGGGGGACCGCCTGGACAAGGGGGCTTGAGGATGCATCACCGTGGCTGTGTTTGGTGTTGGGGGTGGCACGGAGTGTGGAGAGCTGAGACAATGCTGTCCTCTGGCCCCTCACGCCCCCTCCTGTGCTCCGCCGTTGAGGGCCTTATAAATAGCTCCAAGCACTGGACAAGGAGGCTGGAGGCGGGTAAACAAACCTCTCGACATTTGGTGGGGATGGCTGGTCTACTGAGAGCAGCACCCCACCTCCTCGCCACCCCATCCAGTGCCTCTGAGAGAAGGCACCCCCTCCCTCACTGCTGGCCAGGCTGGATGGTGCTTCCCTTTGTGGGGAAGGGGCCGGGGCAGGGGAGGGCCCCACAGGCAGCCTGGTGATGGGGAGAGTGTCCGGGGAGGGGACACTAGGCCTGGACTCTAGCTGTGGGCGCAGGCCTGCTCTTGGCAGGGCCTGTGTTTTCTCTCCGCCTCCGCCTTCTGCCATGGGGGTCGCCTGTTGGCTGGGTGGGGGTCTTGGTACCCTTCCCTGGCCAGGTAGTGGGAGGTGGCGGCAGCTGTGGCCAGCTGGCAGAGTCCAGGCCTCGGTCCTGCCAGGCCGCTTACAGTAACTCTGGCCCCCAGGGCCCAGCTGGGCGCCAGGCCAGGCTTTGGGGGAGGAGGGAGCCGGGGCCTGGCCTGGGGCGGGAGGGGGTGGAAGCAGTAGAAGGGGGCTGTGGATGGCGGGCTGGCCTGGCCGGTCAGCTGTTGACCTGGGAACCGTGTTCCACCTCTCCTGGCGGGCAGGGACTGAACACCCCGCCCCGGGCACCCACCGCCTCTCCCACGCCACTGGCAAGCTGCCTGGCACTGCTGCCCTGTGCGCCTGGCCGGGCTGGGTCAGTGCCCCCTTCCCAGCGTGGGGGCAGCGCACTCTCCCCGGAGCCAGGGAGTCTCTTTGTCCCTGGGGCAGGCCCTGGCCGGGCGCCTCGCTGCCCGCACTGGCCGGCTGCCCACCGCCACCACGGCTTCCTGGCTCGCGTCCTCTGGCTTGCACGGTGGCCCCCTCCCTCTCCAGCCCCACCAGCCCGCTGAGAGCAGGGGCTCTAAGTCTGTGCCCCTTTAGGTCCCTAACCCTCTGTGCCCCCCGGGGCAGAGGGGCAGGCGGATGCTGCCTCCTCAAACCTCCACCTTCTGTTTCCTCCCATGGAGGGGGCGCAGCGGGCAGCATTGTGACCCGGGAGTCAGAACGATTCTGGCCTGGTCTTCAGTCTGTGCTCGGTGATGGGAGAGGCCAGTCTCTGAGTTGGATGATGCTGGGCCAGTCTCTGAGTTAGGGGATGCTGGAGAAGGGGCGGGTGGGTCTGTGGTGCCTGGGATCTGTGTGGGAACTGGAGTTCACATCCCAGTTCCAGGAACTGGAGCATCTGCTTCCCGCCAGGGTGGGGTTTTTAGAGAGGGAGAAACCGAGGGCGCTCAGCCTGGTGCTGGTGTACAGCTTGCTCTTCCTCAGGTGATTGGGGACAGGGTCCTGGCTCAGGGAGGGCTGGCCTGACCCCTGTCTTGTGCCGGACAAGCGGGTGTTTTGCTCTCCTTTGTGAATGTTGCAAGCTTCTTCCTCTTTCTTCGAGGTGGGTGGGGAGGGTTTCCGGGTACCCCACCTCCCACCCTGGTAACCTTCTTCCCCCAGGGTGGGGTGCCCACATTTCTGGTTAAGCAATGCCCCTTCCTGCCCCCCTCCCCGTGTGAGCCAGTGGGTTTCCCTGCCTCTTCCTAGTAAACAACAACACCTCTGCTTACCCAGACCCCCAGCTTCTGAGCTTCTCCCCAACCTTCCTTCCCCTTAGGTCAAGAACCTCCCCATCCACCCCGAGGGAGCAAGGCATCTCCCTCTTTCCCGTGGAAGTCTGAGGGACCTGGTGACCCTGGCTTTCAGCTCTGGGTAGTGTGGCATGACAAATCAAAGTTCCGACCTGGAGGCACCTTGCCTTCTCTGCTCCCCCCACCTGAGGGCTGGTGCTGGGGGCCAGGCGTTTCCCAGGAGGGTGGACAGTTGTGGCCCCCATCCCCACCAGGAGCGATTATTTGCTCTGGTCCCCTGCCACCCTTTCTGCAGGCAGCCTGGCGCAGGAGGCCACCTCCTCCCACTTGCCGCCAACAAAGGTGTTTGGGTAGTGCCCCCTCCATCCTTCCAGCCCTCTCGCCAAGTTGGGGCGGGGGGAGGCTGGACCCTGGGTGTGCTTCAGAGACTCGGTGGCCTGTGGAAGGACAGAACTGTTCTCTAGGTCAGTGGCGAGGGTGGGTATTTGTCCTGCTGTCGTCTCCCTGGAAGCCAGAGTGGGAAGTTCCAGGGATGATACAAGATCCCCGCCTCCAAACCAGCCCTGGGGGCTTGGTCTCTTGAGGACTGGTATTTACTGTGGAGGCTTGGGATTCTGTGTGCCTTGTGGGGAGGGTCAGGGTTGTGTGTGTTTTGGGAGGGAGGTCAGGGTTGGGTGTGTATTAGGGGTGGTGAGGTCAAGGTTGGGTGTGTGCTGGGGAGGGGGTCAATGGCTTAAAAGTATTGGGTGAGAGGGTCAGAGTGTGTTTGAGGAGAATCAGATCCAGAGCCCAGAGGGTGTCAACGTGTTTGTGTGCTGGAGTGGGGGTGACTTAGGGCACCGAATGTGTAAGGGGGAGGGGTCTGTGATTGTGTTGTGTGTGTGGTGGGGGAAGGGTCTCTGTTTCTTATCGCTTGTCTAGGCTGGAGAGGAAACGCACCTGCCTTTCTTTATTGCTTGCCCTGGGAATTCCTTGGGGTGGGAGGGGTTGCTGTGGAGTAGGCTGTGTAGTTTGAGTTCTGGCTTTGCCATTTACAAAGTGTGACAGCCTCTCCGAGAGTGTTTCCTCGTCTGTAAAACAGGGATCTAAGCAGAACCTCCCTCAGACGGCTGAGATTAGGCAAAATCGCCGACGTAATGCACTCTGCTTGTCGCCTTGCATGCGCTCATCGCTGTCTCGTGGCCGGGTGTTATGACAGGGGAAAGGGATCGTGACCCTTTTCTGGGTGGGAGCTGGAGAGAATGGGATGCTAACATCTGTGGAGCACCTACTGTGTGCCTGGGACCTTATCTCTGTTTTACAAATCTTAATCCCGACAATCCGGGAGAGGGACATTATCTCCATTTACACGTGAGGAAACAGCTCTGGTGGTTACCTGACTGAGCTGAGTGACCCTACAGCTGGGCTGTTGTCTGTCCTCCAGATAGGCAGCCCCGGGAGGGTATGGTGGGGATCCCTGGGTATGAGGAGTCTGGGGGGCGGATCAGGGCCATGGTGAAACCCCCTCTTCCCTGGCTGAAGGTGGGAGGAAACCCCGCTTCGGCTTCAGGACCTCCCGCCTTCACCCAGCAGGGGGCGTAGGGAAGGCCTCCCCTAGCCACGCCCCCTCTTCTGTTTTTGATCCTGAAGGCTGGAGGGAAAGAGCGATAAGAGGCTGGGGCCAGATCTCCATCCTGTCCTGGAAGCTGCGGATACAATCTGTTCACACCCATCCCCGCCTCCGAATCAGCCCACTGCAGCCCCGGAGTTTGCAGAGCTCAGCGGGCACCCTCCCCCCATCTCCAGACAGACACTGGAGAAACAGAGTATAAAAGCTACATTCTTATTATTTTGTTTCCATTTGTGGAGTGGGGGCAGGGAAGTTGGAAGCCTTGGGGAGGGGAGCTGGGGATGGGAGCCCCGAAAGACTGGGTCCAGACTTTTCGTTTCCATCCACACATTTGCTCTGTCTGCCTAGAAACGGGTGAGCAGCTCTAGGGTCTGGGGGAGCCTGGGGAGACTTCCTCTCCTCTGCCACTCCCTCTCCTGCCCACTCTTTCCCTGGACAATAGGAGAGACAGCCCAGGGGGAGCGGGAACTGCTAGCAGTGCCCTTCCCGGGGTCCAAAATGCAGAGTCAGCTGAAAGACTGTTGGATGGGGTTTTGAATGAAAATGGGGCCCCCCTAACCTTTTATCTTGAAGCACTGGTAGTGCACAGACCCCCTCAGGGCCGGATCCCAGCATGGGCTGGGGGAGGGGACTCCGGGAAGGAAGCCTGTCCTCTAGGCTGGCCCAGACCTGAGTGAGACATGGTGTGTGCCCATGCCAAGGGCCCTGTGCCCATGGGGATGTGCCAGTGTGGGCCTGACCACCCTTTGAGGGGTAGTGTCTGTGGAAAGAAGAAATGTTTCCCTTCTCCAAATCACTTTGGGGTGGTGCCCACAACGCCTTCTTCCTCCTCTCCCTTTTCAAAGGTGGGGCACAGCGCATGGAGCTGGACCTCCCAGGGTAGACCAGAGGCCCTCAGCCCTGGCTAGATCAGAAATAAAGGTCCTCCTCTCCCCATTCTTACTTCTGAGTTACAGAGAACCTCAGCCCACGGACCAAGGCCCCTTTGGCAGAAGTCTTAAAGGACAACTCTTCCTGTGCGGCTGGGGGGCAGGTCACTCAACCTCTCTTGAGTCTGTTTCCTCTTTAAATCAAGACTCCTAATCTGTTCCTTGCTGGGCCGGCTGCTAGGAGGCCACAATGACCTGCTTGCTGGTGAGGGCCTGGCGAGCTTCAAGTACCCTGCAAGATCAGTGGTGACGAAGGGAGGCGGGTGGTGGAGCTGGTGTTGTCTTGGGGGACGGCACCCTGTACTGGGACCTGATGTCTGTTCAGCCCCCCCGGGCCTCATTATTTCCTGTTTGTTATCCCCTCTAGATGGGGTCGGGGACCCGAGGGAGCCCTGCCTGGGGGGCTAAGGGGGGGCCAGTTCAGCCCACACCTGCTGAGGGTCTGCAAAGCACACAGTGCTGGAGGAATTATGGGGGATGTGGCAGAGGACAGGGCCCCAGGCTTGCCACTAGGTCCTCCCCACCTCCCCTGCTACCCCCCAGTGGCCAGCCAGAACCTGCCG